AAACATTCATAGGGGCATTGCTCTGCCGCCACCGACATAATAAAAGTCTGGCAAGGAGCATGGAGATGGAGTAATCTTGACACTTTTCCACCACATCTAAAACCCTAGAGTCTCCAACATCTACTTTAAATTTCTCGAACAACACATTTACTAATGGATTCAGCAGCAATTCATACAAAGAAATTACAGGTAGTAGTAAAACTCTATAAATATATAATCTTGGAATGGACATACCTGGAAGACAATATCAAAGAAATCGATTTGTAGATAAAGCAACATTTCACAGCAACCGATCCATAACAGAAGCCAAAAATCTCATAATTCGAACTGCAGACGAAGCCTAAATTTGCTTCAATTGAAGAGTTTCAATTAGGTTTGGGCCAACTAAACATATGCAACAAAGGGAGGGAATGAATAATTTTAGGGATAAAATTTTTGGAGGCATAGAAATCGTGGACGACAGGCAAAATTTAAGAGAGGGAATGAAAAAATTTGGGGAAAACCTTGGAGCCAGAGAGTAGTGGTAACTTACGTAATTTGAGGAATTTTTAATTTTGGAACAAAAAAAAAAAGGTGTTCTCTCTTTTTATTTTTACTTATGTTTTTAAGTTCAAATATACATTTTGTGGGGAATAAAATTAAAAATTGTAGTTGAAAATTTTCCTTGAATATTAGCCTACAAATATGTTTGACATTTTTTGTCGTCAAAAGATAGATTTTTCCAGTCATATTTTTTGTCAGGAAGAAAAAACATTTTTGTGGGCACAAGTCTTTCTAGTATTGAAAAATTTGAAATCATAGCTTACAAAACATCGATTTTGTGGGGAAAAGTGAACTTTGACTACAAATTTCAATTTGTCAATGAAAATTTTGTAGGTAAAGGATAGATTTCTTGTAGTGTTACTTCCTCACACACCATTCCTGAAAATCAAGCATTTGATTTCAGGGACGGAGCCAAGAGAGTAGAGGTGTGGGGGGAAAAATAAAAAATTTCAAGATTTTTATTTATTTATTTTTCTTTGGAACATCTTGTGTAAAATTTTGAAAAATCTATTGCAAAATCTTGGTTTTCAAATTTAGTGTGAATGCTTCTGAGTATGTTATTGATTAGATAAGGCATTGATTCAGAAAAGTTGGCATGCGTGCCACGATGGGTGAAGGTAGTTTGTTGAATTTTAACTTCTCCCTCCTCGTTCTATAAATTGGTACATTCACCTCCAACCTTCCATCTTCATTGACAACAGAAAACTTTGTAGGAAATACGCTACAGTCAAACACAAATTAGAGCATCTTTGACCGAATGGAAAAAACGAACTTACAATTGAGGGTCTCGCAGCCTATAAAACTGATACAAATTTATAAATACTTTATAAATTCAGTCAAAATTAAACATTAATTTTAAAAGGATTTACTTGTACATAAAACACGTGCATAAAGAATTACATAAAATGATGTAGAGGGAAAAGATTGGATGAAAAAGTTGATTGCGTTTTAAACTGGTAAATGATAACGTGACATGTGACATTATGTAACACATTATGTAAATCTTGATGTATGTGTAGCAAAATCCATTTCAAAAATATATTTATAACCACTTCTTATCATTATCCACACCTTTCGTGATATCGATCACTATTCCTCTTTATAAATCATTTATAAATTTGTCGAAGGAGACTACCATGGAAATCTCTAATAGAATTACTTGGTTCTTTTGTTGGCGTGTAATCTAAACCTAAATCAGTTGACACTAAAAAAAGAAATACATAAACTTTTTTTCCATTGTTTTTCAAGTTTTCATGGGAATGACTCGAAAAAATAGCCTATCTTCATTCTCATTGAAGCACATTACATCCACATTTCACAAATTATATCTTCTCATATTAATGGGATCTCCAATCACGTGTCCTCCATAGCTAAACACAGAAATCCAATTGTTAGCCGTGTAAAATCAGTCTCATTTTGACAAAACAAAAAAGAACAGAAATTTGCCTTGTCGAATGTTTTGGTTTTGATCCTCCAAAATTCAGTTTCGAGAAAATTAATAATGTCTACATTCACAGGCACTTTGGATAAATGCAAGGGTTGTGACAAGACTGTTTATTTTGTTGATTTGTTGTCTGCTGATGGAACAACTTATCATAAATCATGCTTCAAATGCTGCCATTGCAAAGGAACTCTCGTGGTATATATGTATATATATATATATTCTCTCTTCACCCCATTATTTTAACAATGATCGTCATGTAACATTTTTTTTGTTTGTAGTTTATATGATTTTCACTCAATTAAATTTTCGAAAACTTTTGTTTACATTAGTGCTATGTAAGTTTTAATGGGAGGTAGCTTTCTATACAATATTTCATCAGCTTTTGAAAATCATTTTAGCAAAATAATTTTAAAAATTGACGTAATTGCATTTCATATAGCTATAAATGTGTTAATTTTTTATACGCCGGGTTTAAAGAGAAGTCATTTTTAACTATGGAATCGTCATATAAAATGTCTACAAATGTTATTTTTGTATTTGAGTCTTTCAGTTAATTATATTATAAAAATTTATGAGGTCTTTTAGTTTCATCTCGAGTCATTTATTGTTCTTAATACGTAGTTTTGTGATTTTCCCTTCGTTAACTTTTTTCTTTTTCCCCAAAAAATAACAGGATAAACTTAAGTCAAAGCAAATAGTGAAATTTATCAAAATGTTGTTATTGTTTTTATTTCACAAATCCAAGTCATTTTGGGTGTGTAATATTCATTTTGCAGATGAGCAACTACTCCTCCATGGATGGAGTCCTATATTGCAAGCCACATTTTGAACAACTTTTCAAGGAGTCTGGAAATTTTAGCAAAAATTTTCAAACTTGTGAGAAACCCTAATAATCACTAAATTATGTAGAACTTTCTTACTATTAATTTTACTATTTTTGCTAATTATTCTTTTTTGTTGTTGGACTATTGTTTAAGCAGCAAAGCATGAGAGGGAAAATTCACTGGTACGCTCATGAATTAATTTCTATTGAAAATGGTTTGATGACTATTTCAAAACTTAATTTTCAAGTTTAACTTATTGGAAAATCCTTTTTATTTTTTTTTGAGTGTCAACTAATCCAAACCTTGTTTTACCTCTTGTTTATAATCAGTGAAATCATTTTTTATTCACATATTTCGTGAATTCATAAGTATTACTCACTAATTTACCACTAATTTTTATTTTTAATTTAAAATGACTACAAACAATTTTTAAATATTATTTCATCTTTGACAAAATAGGTTTACACTACTTAGTATATGCACTTGGCAAATAAAGTCAACCTAATTTCTTCTTCTTCCTTTTTTTTTTTTTTGTTTTTTTTTTTGTTTTTGGTATTATTCGTTATTTATGCAGACAAGGGCGCCGAGCAAGGTCTCGACCATGTTCTCTGGAACCCAAGACAAATGTGCTTCTTGTAACAAAATTGTGTACCCACTTGAGAAGGTTTGTGACATTGATCATGTACTCAAGATACATATATCTTAAGCTATTAAATAAAATGATTAGTCTGCCATTATATATAGCTTGTAACATACGCATTCACCTCCACGAATAAATACTCATAAAATTGATAACGATAAATTCCTTCATCTGCAAACTGTATTTTCTATCCATTTTTTTCTTGAATTTGCACATACCAAACAGATGACAATGGAGGGAGAATCATACCACAAGTCATGCTTCAAGTGTGCCCATGGTGGCTGTCCACTCACACATTCATCATATGCTGCTCTTGATGGAATTCTATACTGCAAGCACCATTTCCAGCAGCTCTTCATGGAGAAAGGAAACTACCAGCATATTAAATCTGCTCACAAGAGAAGTGGCAGTAATGTGGAAGCTGTCGATGCTGACGCTGAGTCAGGGGCAGAGGCCGGGGAGGAGGAGCTGCCAAAGGAGGTTGTGGCAGACACTGAACCAGAGGAAGCTGATAAAGTAGAAGAACATTCCTAAGTGCATGTTTGGTACATTTCTAAGTGTATGTTTGGTAGACAATACTAGGTAGGACAAAGACACAATAATAAATAAGGTGTTATCTTATTTTGTTCCTTAATTTTGTCACTACTGTTAAATCCTCTGTACCGAACATGTCATAAGCACACACGCTAATATATATATCAGTTTAGGGTTTCTTACTTTGTTTATGAGTTTAGATGAATTCTAGTGATTTTTTAAGCTTGTTAAAAATGTGGTGTAATTTTGTCTAAACAAAATATATATTCTGAAACCGTAGGGAAACTATAGTCCTCAAAAAATTGAACTGGGCCATAAGTATTGTATTTTGCAAAGCCTGAAACTTCAACTGAGAATAAATGAAAGACAAAATAAAAATAAAAAATTTCCTTCAACTAGTCCTCCTAAAGTGCCCCGTCTCAAGGGGAGGGGAGTGGCTGGGGCAACACAGAGCCGGCAGGCCCTGGGAATCATGTACTTTTTAGGGTTCATTGTGGTCAAAAGTATTAGAACCTTAAAAGGTTAAGAATTTAGATGCTATAAATGGAAGTTGGAGACCAACTTGATGCGATTCTCCTAAATTGAAAACTTTCTAGAATTATTGATAAATATTAACTTAATTATACGCTAATATTTGCATGCAATTGTCTAAATACTTATTAAAAGATTAGGTAGACGTGTATAGTGGCTCAATTTTTCTCAAGCTAAATAGTCAGTTTAGAGTCTAAAAATTTGATTATTGAGCCTTTGGAGATTGTTTGCCGAAATGTCACTAAAAACGCATTGGTATGCGTAAAGTCATCAAATCTAGATTGTACGTAACCCTCCATAGAGAAAAAAACAAGTCCATTATAAGAATTTGAGACGTGAAATATACAATACATACCAACCTTATAATACAAGGTCGTGCACATGAAAAAAAACCGAGTGCACAAACACACAAAAATACTTTTGTTTGAGATTAATTTAATTAGTTTAAATTTGCAATGCAACATCAAAATGGAACAACAAACAATGATTTCAAACTCCAGTTTTGATAATATCACAAATAAATCTCAAACTAACATGTCCTTCAATGGATTTAAGAAGAAAATCCATTACCAATATCATGAATACATAAATCTTTATTCAATTCAAACCCCATACATTTACTTGAGAAATATAACATTTGAAAGGACCAAACTATTAGAAGTTCGATACATTCTGCCGGTAAAAGAACAGTCCAGATGGGGGCGTGGCCATCCCATCCGGCAGCATTGCCAGCTTCAACAAACTATCTGCACCCTCTTCAACAGTCAATGAACCAGTATTGGCATTTATATCAGTTTTCACATATCCAGGACACACGCAGTTGATGTAGAAATTAGGGTATTTTTTGGCAATAATTCTTGTATAGGCATTAATGGCAGACTTCGACAATCTGTATGCAGGTACATGTTCCGGCCAGCCATTGACTTTCAATGAGTTTTCTTTGAAGTCTTGAAGAAACTTGTTGAGCACATTATCTACTTTATCTTCTGTGAGTTCTTCTGCATTGCTTAGCACTTGTTTTGCCCATTCATTGGACTGAAACTGGATGTGGGATCATGAGAAATAGCATATGTCAGGTTCTTGAAGAGTTGTGTTCTGTTCCAAAATTCAAGTTTTTATAATCCCCTAAATTATCTTAGGTTGGCTCACCCTTAATTACTAAAAGTAAGGTCACTTTATACAAAATTTTTAAAAACGCGGTTCTTTTTAATTTTCTTCACTATTTTGGTCATCCGAAATTCTTTTTCCACAGAAGTAAATAACTTTTACCTTCAATATACCCATGAGAGAAGACACATTCACAATCCTTGGCGTATCAGACAACCTTAAGAGTGGAATAAATGCTTCAATCATTCTCTTTGTACCATAATAGTTAGTTTGCAAACATTGTTCTGCCCATTCATATGTCTGAACAAGTTTTCCATTTGCTGCGATATGAGCTTCTTGTGGCTGCATTATTGAAGAAAGAAAATCTGTTATTGAAATGATCCTGCCTTTAAGTTCTATAAATTAGTGGTCGACTGCATAAATCTCTCTTCACTACTGCGTAAACTACTCAAAGATCCAAATGGACTGTACCTTTTAAAACTACAATGATCATGTTAGTTTTGGTTTACCATTTCCTCTTTTAACCTATTGTATTGATAGCAGCATAAGAGCCTATTTAGGTATATACAAGACACATCTCAAACACATAATTTGTCAATTTCTTAACCTGTTATTCTGTGTAATATCATAACTTTTCTTTAATTTTACAAAGCAAATAAAAAAAACAAAAAATGTCCCGACTGCTTTAGTCTACTATTTCTTATCTTATCTATTTTACCATGATCACACATGCATCCATTATAACATCCTCATTTAGTCATTTACTTCCTCCAAACATTCTAGTTTCTATGAAAACATGTTAACATTTTGAATCAAAAAACTCAATAGGAATAACAATTGAAGTGATTTCCATATTCTATGAAAAGGTGATATATCTCCCTGCATACAGACTTTTTCATGTACGAACAATTAACTTGTTCGGTAGACTGACTTTATAGCACTCAACAATATAAAGAAATAGAAAGAAGTTAAAAATTTCGTCAATTATAATGTCTGATCGTCTTGTATTATGTTTGTCTTAAAGTGTCATTAGCAGTAAACATTTTATTCACAACTAATAGTATTCAATTTCACCTGAAGTTTTCAGTTGAGTGATGAAATAAATATAGTACAAAGAGTCAAAGACCAACCTTGGTGTCATCAGGAATTGAAACTACATCTGCCTCAATTATATCTTTAATAACTAAGACATCTCCCTCTATACTTACTCCAATCATACCAGCATTATTCACCTGCAAAATTTTCAGATTTTTTAAAATAACGGTTCATAATAAAAAAACTAATTGTAGGAACAGGCTTTAACTATCTCATCTAAAAATTGATTAATATCAAGTGAGGTGAAGCTAAACCTTTTATGGCATTCGGTGATCATCATTTGAGTGATCAAGTCCACGAGCTTAAAAGCAGCATTATTGCTTCCCCACATTAATTAATAAAGAAAGATGAACAATTCTTAATTTTATAATATGAGAAAAAATCTCAACTATGTTGAAATGTAGTTCAGAGTGAACTATTCTACTACTTAGCTACTCAGGAACAGTAGGTGATTTCTTAAGCATGCATTGGATCCACATTGGTTGCATAATGAATAGCTAGAAGTGTTAAATGAGCTGACTTTGTAGAGGCCCAGCCCGGCCCCTATTTTATGGCAGCCAATTTTGTCCAAAAAATCGAGGTCAGGAGATTTTTTCTTTCTTTTTTCTACCATAATATGGGATGTAACTAAGCTTGTTATATAAAATTTCGCTACTTTTTTGAGGTTGGCTAGATGAAAACTTTTTTGCTCCTCCATATCTTCTCGAAGTCTAAAAACAACAAGTATAGCCACTTCCGCAGGCTATGTTACTTTTAATCTACCTGTCCCTATTTTGACGTTTTCCCCGAAATTCTATCATCCTTATAGAATAGATTAACCAATAAACACAAAAAAATTGGGCCAAAAAAAATAAAAAAGGACAAAATTTAGAAAATAAAAAACATTGAAAAAAGAAGAAAAATTCATACCAAAATATCAAGCTTCCCATAAATGTTTTTGATGAAATTGGCAAGGGAAGCAATACTAGTTGGATCCATTACATCAAGTTGATGAAACACAACATTTTCAGAGAGAGCAAAGCCTTTGAGCTTTTCTAGAGCTTCATTGCCTCTCTTCTCATCTCTGGCTGTCAAAACCACAATGACTCCTTTACATGCCAACTGCCTACATAGCTCAAACCCTATTCCTTTATTTGCCCCTGTCACAACTGCATACCTAGATAAATAAAAAGATGAAAACGGTAAGGGCTTGTTAGATGAACAATATCAAGTATATCAAATAAGATTAGACAATACGATAGACATGATTTTTTTTATTTTTTTCCCTTAATACTATCTAATCTTGTTTGGTACTAGGAATGTCAACGAGTTGAATCAAACCAACTTGTGAATCGAAGTAAAATTAAGACGGATTTTTTTTGTCCAAGTTGAGCAAAAGCTCGACGAAAAACTCGAGGCTCGACTGAGCTTTCGGCTCGGGCCTTACCGAGTCGAGTAGGCTCAATTTTTTTTATATGACTGGCAACACATATTGCCTTTTTAAAGGCACCTCTCTATTGCCTTTTTTTTTTTAACGAGCCAGCTCGGGGCTCAGCTCGATACCCAAAATGAGGGCTCAGGTTGAGCCTCGAGTTGGGCTAGATCAGGCTTTTTCCCAATCGAGCCATGGGCAGCCTGAGCCGCGAGAGCTAAATTGCCATCTCTATCTGGTACTGAGTATCAAAATTGCCACACAACCATTTGGGTATGAACTCATTAGTATTTATGTTGGGATGGAATCTCCAAGAAAGTTACCAAGATCAATGGAGCGAGCTCAAGCAATTTGGGTACTGTAGGAAAAACTCTTACAATAACTGTTCTATTAGTTAGTAGAAAGAGGGGAAAATGTTCTAAAATTGTGGCCTTGTATAAATATAGGACCTTAGGCAATGTCTCACCTGCCTAAGGGTTGAGCCCAGAGCCGGTCTTGTGCCGAGGCTAACGAGGCTGCGCTTCAGGCCCAGAATTCGAAGGGGCCTCATTTTGGCCAGAGAAGCTTAATATTACTCTCTCTTTTATATATATATATATATATATATACACACACACACACACACAAACAAAAGACAAGTCACTCCTACCTACTCCACTTCAAAAATTATACTGCCAATTTAACTTTGAACTGCGGTCCATAAACATGTTTTTAATCAAATGCTTCATTTTCCATAATGGAGACAAGAACTTCATTGTAAGATTCTTATTTTTTAATTAAAATTATAAGATTATTAATTTATTTTGAATATATTGAGACCATTATTGGTGAACAGGATTTGACATTTTTTTAACTTTTTTGAAGGATTTAACAAGATACGGTCTTACCATAATGTTTAATGTATATTAAGTCTTCATTGCATACATTGTATGAAGTCTTCCATCAACATTGTAAATTTTGCACACGTTTGGTGTATCTAAAAAAGTTAATAAAAATTAACAATTTATTTTAACTATATATTCATGAGACCCGTAGTTTTTATCAACTTTTCAACCACATATTTAGTCAAGTTTTATCAAAATCTAAATTTAGTTTAAGTCAGTGGCTCCTAATTCGTCTTTTACAGATACGAATCACTAAATCAGAGTTTAGTGTGTCCAGACTCATAAAAAAAAATTAGTCAGTTCTTACTTTTCCGCCTTACTAAGAATTCATACCAAAATATCAAGCTTCCTATAAATGTTTGTTATGAAATTGGCAAGGGAAGCAATACTAGTTGGATCCATCACATCAAGTTGATGAAACACAACATTCTCAGAGAGACCAAAGCCTTTGAGCTTTTCTAAATCTTCATTTCCTCTCTTGTCATCTATGTATTCAGTAGTACTGCTGTTGGGACAAAATCTCCAAGAAAGGTACCAAGATCAACGGAGTGAGATCAAGCAATTTGGGTACTTGGGAAAAAAACTCTGATGATACCTTTCTATTAATAAGTAGAAAGTGTAAAGAAATAAAACTAGTATCAAAGCCTCTAAAATTTGTGGCCTTATATAATATAGGATTTGAGGCAATGTCTCACCTGCCTAAGGGTTGAGCCACCTTTAAATCAGGATGTGAAGATGAGTTCAAGAAAACAAAGGGTTCGCAGCCTAAACTTTCGACATCATGGATAATTTTCTTTTCTAATACATGGATTTTATTTTCATTAATCCATATATACTTGGAACAATGAAATACTATTACTTCTCCTCCAAGAGGTAAATGATTGATTACAAATGTCTATTATATATCTTCTCTATAGAGAGAACAAAATTGGAGTGCATACCAATACCTAATATGGGCAAAAAAATAGATCAGAAGAAGTAACTCTCAGATCAATAATAATAATAATAATAATAATAATAATAATAATAATAATAATAAAGGATTTTGGAGTGGTTTGACTGACCAAACTACGGTGGAATATTTTCAAGATGTTAATGAATAAAACATATTTCTATTTATCGACAACATCTTCCAGTTCATAGCTACATCAGGCTTAGTAACTTGATTGAAAGCAAGTTAATTTACCTGTTTGACGACTGATTGTTCATTGTTTCTGCACTTTCACTCCTCTTCTGCTCAGTTTGAAGATTAGTACTAAATATATATTAATATAGACAAAAGGCAAGTAACTTCCACCTAGCTACTCCATTTCAAACATATACTGCCAAATCAACTTTTAGTTGTGGTCCATAAACGTGTTTCTACTCAAGCGTTTTTATAAGACCATTATTGGTGCACGGTATTTGACATTTTTTAAGAAGAATTAATTTCTTTTCCTTCTTTCTGAAAGAAGGATTTAACAATATTAAATTAGAAACACTTTTTCATAAATTCTATCCTAAATTTGAGCATATCTGATAGTTATAAGTACTTATAAGTTGTGGATTGGATAGTAAATCGAGAATCCTTTGAAATCAAGAAAAAATATATAATAAAATGATATTATATGCCCATGCGATAAGACTAACAATTTAAATAGTGCCACCTCATACCTTGTATGATTCAAATTATGACATCTCCTCATCCAAAGTAGTAAGAGAAATAAATGAAGTAGACCTCATATGCCAATGTATCATGACTTAAATGGTTCAGGTCTAAGGTGTCATGATCAACTAAACAGTCTTACCATGTGCCTACGGGACCATCCTCTTCAAAATGCATAAATAAAAACTAAAAGTTTGACCGGTTCAAATTATAATTTAAGCCTTGTAAAATATGCACTATTTTTATATAGGATTTTGCTATGTAGAAACTTGGGCAAAAGTGCCCTCACAATAGGGGGCTAGCAATTTTTTATTGAGCGTGAGCCCCCTATTGTGAGGGGGGACACCAAGATGTCAATTCCAATGTACAAATAGCAAATCTCTTTTATATTATTTTTGGAATTTTTCTTTTGCAGTTAGAGGAATCCAAAAACAGCTACCATCCTTGACTCGCAAACTCTATGGGGCCTATCAACTTGGGTTCCAAGTTGTAAAAGAGCTAAAGAGGCACAAAGAACTTCAAATAGAGTAGTTAAACTAGAATCAAATTTTATTACCACTCAAAAGTGGAGCTTGGTTCAACAAGTGCTTGTTTGAATCAGATCTGTATGGTCTAGGCTGGTTTCACAATAGTACTTTGAACTTGGTAACAATCAATAATCCTGATGATATTGATGTACAAACTAAAATTCAAGAAGAAGCCCAACAGAAGATGATGGAAGCACTTCTTAATTCCAAGGATTCGGATTCGGATTTCCAATTCAAAACACACAAGGAGGGGGGGGGGGGGGGGCA